GCACCCTCCTGCTCTGCACACAGGGCACCCGCACCTTCCTGCTTCATGTGCACAGGGCACCCGCACCCTTCCACTCTGCGCAGAGGGCACCTGCACCCTCCCGCTCTGCACACAAGGCACCCGCACCCTCCTGCTCTGTGCACAGGGCACCCGCACCTTCCCATCTTATGTGTACAGGGGTACCCGCAACCTCCCACTCTGGGTACAAACACAGCCACAAGCTTGGCAGTACCTTCAATGGTGCCCCACTTGGTCTTCCTCCCCAGGATCCTCTTGCCGTTGACCTGGTACTCGTGGTCACTGCCCACTACAGCGAACGGGATCATCTCCTGAAAAAGGGGCCAGTGGCATTGGTCACGTATGAAAAGGCCTGTCCCTGCTCCCGGACAGAGACCATGGCCCAAGAGGGCCAGTGTGGACACCTGGGCCCTGTCCCCTCCTGCCCCAGAGAATACATCCTCATGGCTCAAGGCTGTCCCCCCATTTCCTACAAAGCCGCTAGACAGAGTGGAAACCCCAACCCTGCCATGCCCTCCAGCAGGAATGAAGTCTCCACTGGAGCAGTGTCCTGGTGGATTTGCTCACCCGGAACTTCTCATTCACCAGCCTGTCCTCTGAATCCTCGTCAAATTCTTTCTGGGGGTACACGTCAATGCCATTGGATAGCAAGTCCGCTGTGATCTGGGGATGGGGGTAGAGATGTGGGTTCCCAGAGCAAGCTCCACCCACCTGCCAGAGTCTGCCCACCTTGAGATGTCCAAGCTTTGGGCTATCCGAGGTTGGGATTGGGCAGGAGTTGGGGGGTGGGGCATGTGCCTCCCGTGGGGATAAGGGGCAGCTGCAGACCCACTCCAGACTTTGAGTTCCAGAGACTGACAGAGAGTAGACCTCACGTGAAGCTGCTATTGAGGACCTATCCCCGGATGACACCCCCGCCAGCATCTACCAGCCTATGAAGAGTGACCACTGGTGCCCCTGGGGCTGGGGTGGCCCCAGGCCTGCAGCATGTCCAGGCCACTCCGGAGCCCTACCCGCTGCTTGAAGTAGACCCTCTCCTCCAGGGTCAGCGTGTCGGCCTTGGCAATGACCGGGACAATGTTGACTACCTTGCTCAGACGCTTCATGAATTCAATGTCCAGGGGCCTGAGACTGAAACAGGTGATGTGAATGAAACTCAGCTTGGGGGACATGGGGGAGCAAGGGAGGGCCCCCACCTCCAGGCCTGGGGACGAGGCTCTCAGGTGCCCACTTAGGGCTCAAAGGGTCCATGCTAGCAAGACCCTGGAATGAGCCCATCCAACCCGTGAGCATAGGACAGAGGGAAGGAGCATCCTGGGCATGAATGAGCAGCACCCATGAGCAGGGCAGGAGGGCCAGGGTGGGGCCGTTGCTGAACACCCTCAGCTATCAGGTCCCAGGTCTCAGGTCTCAGGTCTCCACAGTTCCCAACACATGTCTACAGAGGGGCTCGAATGTCTGCGTGGCTTTGATTGGGAAGACAAGGCAGAAGGAATTTAGCCTGGGGCCGGACCCGTGGGGACAGCAGTCATGGTCCAGCCCAACACTGTTCCCTGTGCTACAAATACGTCAAATCCTCTTGGGGGCTCCATGAGGCAGGGCCCCAGCCCAAGAAAGGGTCAGGCAAGAGAGTAATGGCTGCGGGGCCCCAATCTGCCTGCCAGAGCCCGGTGAAGCTAGGACAGGCCAAGACACAGAACTCCAAGCTCTGGGACGGCCCTGGGCTCCCCAGGGGCTGGATGCTCCCCCAGGCCCAAGCTGAGAGGTGGGGAAAGGGACAAGGAAGACACACAGTGAAGAGGTCAGAGCAAGGCCCAGGGCCACAGACCCGGCACGCCGGCCACCACAGTACCCAACTTGGCTCCTCTCTGCTCAGGGCACAGAAGATAGCACTTTTCGACCATGGCATGGAACCCCGGGCACCCACCACCAGATAGGACACTGCTAGGACGTACGAGTGGCCTGTGGCGGGGATGAAGTAGAGGCAGCAGTGGACACGCGTGTCGGGGATCCGCTTCTTCCGGTTGATGTTGACCTCCTCCTGCAGGTACTTCTCGTACTGTTCATTGATGAACTTCATGATGGGCTGCCAGCTGTGGGGGGGCCAGGTCAGCCTGCAGGTGGGCCCAGAGCCCCAGGATGCAGCCCCATACCCTATTTCCCCCCACACAGCCTGGGGAGGGCTGGACTTCCAAGGCGAGTCACCACAGCCTCATCTTAGAGCTCCCAAAGCAGCCTCCCCATGCTGACTTCTGACCTCCAGGGCCATGGGAGAAGAGCAAGGATGACTCTGCTTTGGTCCAGAGAGTTTAGACCCCCAAGACATGTGCCTTCAACAGCACATTGGGCCCTAGGAGACGGGCCCTGCACCCCAAGGCCGGGGAGCTCTCCATGGCTCCGACCCTGGGTATGAGCCCGAAGTTCCCCTTAGTGTCCCTCCTCCTGGAGGAAGGGCCTCCCAGCTCATGGTCCCTGGACCCCCTACCAGTTCTCATTGTTGATGTGGTCACCAAACCCTGGTGTGTCGATCACTGTCAGCTTCATCCGGACGCCCTTCTCCTCAATGTCTGCAGAACCACAGCACCCGAGTCAGGGGGGCCAGGGACACCCCCCGCCCCCACCCACAGCAACGACTCCCGAGAGATGGCGGAGTAGAGGCTGGTGACAGTTATCCTGGTGCCCACCATGATTCTGGGTGGAAAACTTAGTTGTCTGGGGGAGAGCTCAGTGTGCTGGGGCCCATGGGATTCCAGAGCACCCCTGACCCTGACCCCGTACTCTGCCCAATCCAGCGTCCCCACACTACTGGGGTGGGGGAGCATAGTGAGCTCCCTGCTTCGGGACCTGGGCTTGCCTGATTCGGGCACCCTTATAGCCATGCTCTGGTAAGGAAGGGGGCACCTCTACACCCCTGCCACCCCACCCCAGGCCGCTGACCGTGCGTGATGGACTTGATTTCAATGGTCTTAGGGATCCGTTCCTCTGAGGGGGGTTGCACTGACTTGCGGCTGATTTTGGATTTGAAGAGAGTGTTGATTAAGGTGGACTTTCCCAAGCCACTCTGCCCTGGGGAGAGAACGGGAGGTCAGTTGGGGCTCCCGGAGCCTGCACAGGGCCCCTCCTGCCCAATTCAGTAAGGCCTGGGCTGACATCACAGTGCCTCTGCCAGGCAGACCATGCCTGAGGGCTTCACCCTCTCAGCCAGGTGTCCAGTGACAAGTATAAACCCACATAGCCAGGCTCCAGGGCCAGGCCAGCCTCGGGCAAGAGTCCTCTCCTGAGAGGTGACAGTCTGGATACCCCTGTGCCTGGTAAGAGTCAGAAGCCCTTGTACCCCTGTGTTTTTCTGGAAGGGAGTCTCCTGGTGGCTCTGGTTTAGGGCAGGGTGGAGGCAGGGCTCAGAGAGGAGCCCCAGCCAGGGCCGCCCATCCACAACATGCCAGGTGGCTGAATTCCTGCAGCACATCAGGGTGGGTGGGAACTTAAAGTTGGGAGTGGTCTCAGGTGTTCAAACTGCTCCTCCCTGACCAGCTGTGGACTTGGGCAAAGCATCTGACCTCACTGTGCCTCAGTTCCCTCATCTGTAAAATGGAATAAACAGCCTCTGCCCCTGCTGAGCTGGTGTGAACAGCAGGTGAGGGGGTCCCTGTCACATGGTGTCCACCGTTAGCACTGGCTACCCAGTGCTGGCCTGCAGAGCAGCATCCGCTGAGACACGTAACCGTGTGTAGGAGCAGTGAGTCGATGCACCACTGAGAGAGGCTGAGGATGTGACAGTCATACCATATGACACACAACTCACACACACACACAACCTCAGACTCAGAGCCCATCGCACTGCCTGCCCACATAGGTGCAGGCGTGCCTGCAGCATACTGAAAAAAGCCCGACTGCTCTGATGTTTGGACTCTGATAGCACCTTTCAGGGAAACCCACGGGCTCCCTGGTGGACAACAGCTGATGCAGGGAATCCCTGACTTGGCCACTGCAGGATGGGCTCTCCTTACCACACCTCCATCACATCTATTACTACCATCTCCTCCATCACCACCGTCACCTCTATCACCTCCATCACCACCGTCACGTCTATTACTACCATCTCCTCCATCACCTCCATCACCACCGTCACCTCTATCACCTCTATCACCACTATCACGTCTATTACTACCATCACCTCCATCACCTCCATCACCTCCATCACCATCACTTCCATCACCTCCATCACCACCATCACGTCTATTACTACCATCACCTCCATCACCACCATCACCTCCATCACCACTGTCACATCTATTACTACCATCTCCTACATCACCTCCATCACCACCATCACCTTCATCACCACC